AATATGTATTATTTAATGTTATATATAATATAAATTACAGTCACGTTATTTTCACGTGTTGTTTTTCTACTCTTTCCTGTCACGTGACTTTAGTTACGTTTTTAATTTTCTCTACATATACGACGACCTGTCTCAAAATCGCTTTTCATTATTTACTTTCTCGATCTTACCGATTCGATTCGACTCGATCAACCAACCAACCAATCGACAACGCGGAAAAGAAGCAACAATAGATGCGATGCATTCGGCTCCAAAACGCGCACTTCTCGGTCCAAATGCCCTTTTTTATATAGGATATGTCGCCAACATTCGTATATTACCTGATGCGGTGTGCGCGTTTGTTACTAAACACTTGCGCACATCGCGTCGCTCGTAATGCAATTCGCGTGACATCTGATACCACGCGTGAAATATCGTCTCGCGGCAAATAAAAATTCTCTCTGATCTCATTTACGCCAAGCTTGCTGTCTTGTTTCGCCGATACTTACCGCAATTTTTCATTGTCACAGAGGCGCACAACAAGAATGTGCAGCTCTCATTGGAATCGCTGAAAGGAAAGGAAAACCGCGCAAGATGTTTCATCATATGTTTTTTGCGCTCAAAATTCGTCTTTTCGTTCAACGAAAAATTTTCTTGGCTCTTTTCTCTTCGGAACAATGTTATATTTAAACTTGCACCACATTTTTGACAAACTCTCGACACGACCAATTATTTTACTTAATTTGTTACAGCAGCAACAGAAAGTAAACATTAAAGCAGACATTTAGTATACAATACATATGAGAGGTTGATGTGTGTGATGAAATAAACGTGCGCATAAGGTATTCAATAAATTTTACATAATGTTTATTATTTATAGTGTACTCAGAAATGTCGGGCCTCAACCAGTGGGCCTTCTTCTCTTTTGACATATTTGATCAATGAACATCACAATGTTATAATTTTTCCCTATAGTTCCGTTTACAGTTTACTCGTCTTCTCTATTAAGAGTAACGCGCAATCTGCTCGTGCCGTTTACATACAGCGCTGGAACCAACGGTCTCTCTCTCTCTCTCTTTCTCTCTCTCTCTCTCTCTCTCTCTCTTTCCTTGCGTCGCGCGCGCAAATATAAACTCCACGGGTTCGTGTTCTTGCGTTGAAAACCGAGGGTCAAATTCGCTCGTACAAAGATTAACGGGCAGTAGTTTACGGGACGCTATATACGAGCGATGGGTAACGCAAACCCGTACAAATTCTCATTGGAAAAAAAAAATTGTCGTAACGAGCGAATTGCGCCTCACAAAAAATAGATATGTCCAACTTCGCGTCTCTTGCTTCTTCAGCCACGATTTCAACATGCCAGCATATTCGTACAACAAAATGTCGGCTAACAACTGCCTTATATATATATATATATAAAAAAAGAAACAAAACGAAAAGAAGAGCTCTAAGTTGCAACTCGACGGTTCTTTTTGTTTTTTTAAATTTCGATCGGCGCGCGTACTCTCTCGATAAACAACATAATTTAACATAATAATAATAATATTCAATAAGTATCATTAAAACACAACGTATATATAGTATTAATAAACATTTCTCTTTTTCTTCGTGTTTTTTTCTTTTTGTTTTACGTATTACATTAGTCATCGCCAAATTTTTTTACACAGTCGTTTTCTCGCAGTCGGAAAAAACGTCTCGCTTTTCTTTTTTTTTATGGTGTCCGTTTCGGGCCGACATTCGAGGAGTTCCCAAAAGAGTGAGATGGGTTTTCTCAAAAAGTGGAGGACGAAGGGAGAGGAACGGGCGGGAGGGAACGGGGGAGTGGGTTTTTTGACTTTCCTTTTCTCTCTCTCTCTTTCTCTCTTTTTTTTCACTCACATTACAAGCAATCAACCATTCCCACTGTACACGCCTCTTTCTCTGCTCGATTTCTTTGTCCCATCGCGGACAATGAAAAATCAAAAGACGCACGCATCATCGCGCAGAGGAACGAAACACAATCGGACAGAGGAATCCGGCGAATTCGATGGATTTGTTTTCGCGGCTTGTGATTTCGCTCGTCGAATCGCATCATTTCCGTCATCGTTTCGACGCGACAAAAATTGAAAATTCTCCGTTACGGCCGGTCGCCAAAACATTCAAAATGATCGAACAACAATAAATGTATTTCGTCTATTATTTTCTATTTTGTCGGTATATTATCTAATTGTACTTTATTATAAGAAAGGAACAACCGACAACCACAATACTTGAGTATATAAAAAAACTCTCTCTTTTTTTCTCTTTTTTTCTCTGTCTCTCTCAAAATAAGAGAGAAGAACAGTTACATCACACCGTATATAAATGTTATACAATCTATCTGCAATAAAATATATTTTCATAACATTTATATATCTATTTAGAAAATATATATTTATTTCTTTCTCGGGATTTTTCAATCTGTCTTCTATCAAAAAAAAAAAAAAACCCAAAATAAAGCTTTGGTTCGGGATGGAAACTCTTCTCTTGAAAACATTCGTCAGTTGTTCCTTTAATATGTAACAGAGATCAATTAACCGCGCCTCGTCGAGACGCAGCGGTCAGTTTTTATTATCAATTATTATTGAACTGGTTTGTGTTTGCGCTTATAAATTTGCCTTCACACTTAGACGAAGTTTGAACACGATGTGAACTCGAATTGCTCGACGACCGGCCGACCGGGTGGTCGCTAATAAAAAAATGGCGCGAAGGCGGCGCGCGCGCGCAAAGCGGTACGAGGATACGTCAATTCTCATTATGTTATATAGAAATATCGACTTGTGTATATGTGTGTGTGTGTGTATGTATGGGACTGAATATATTCGAAAAATTCGGTAAAAATATTAGTATGCGACCTCGCGCCGCTCGGCACGCCCGCCCGCATCATCAGGCCCGTCTTAATTAATTTTTCTCTTGAACCTCCAAAAAACACCTCGTCCAGCCTATAACGCTATATACGAAATAATCGTTACGATTAGGATTTAATATAATATATATATTATATATTCTACATTATACATTACACTATGTTCGAAAAATAATATTACAATATATAGTGTGTGTTGTTATGTGTGTATTATCATTTTTTTCTCTCTCTCTCTCTTTCTTCTTATTCCTCCTCTCCTTCACGATAGTATGCCTCGCATTTTTTTACTTGTCGCTTTTTTTCCTTATTTTATACGCGCGGTAATACCTAAAATTTACAGTTACACACGGCGATCGACGCTGCTGAGAGGAGGTCGGCGATCCTGTTTATTTTATTGTAAAAAATTATATGCGTCACCACGAGAGAAGTAAAAGCAACTCTCCTTCGTGTGTGTGTGTGTGTGT